GCCGGGGGCCAGGAGCCCGCGCCGGGCAGCCGGGCGCGCCGGGGGTGGGTCCCTCTCCCCAGCCCGGCTCTGCGTGGAAGAAGAGGGCGGGGGCCGGCGCGGGGAGAGAGCGGAGGAGGAGAAGGGGGCATGACTCGTGCAACTTGCGGCGGGCATCTGCCGAGCCTCTGAGCCGGCGGCCGCCCGGGGCCCGGATTGCGTCCGCGCCGATCCCACCCCGCCCCGGCCGACGGCTGAGGTTGACCTGGATCTTCAGAGCGCCCGCCGGCCTGCAGGGATCGCCTTCGTCTTCCGGGCTGCCTTCTGGAGCGCGAGGAGCGCTCTCCTCGCGGCCCCTCTCGCCGGACCCGCGGAGCCCGATGGCTCGGATGGGGCTTGCGGGCGCCGCTGGACGCTGGTGGGGACTCGCTCTCGGCTTGACCGCCTTCTTCCTCCCAGGTAAGCACGTTCCGCCTCTGCCTTTCCCCCCCCACACACACACACACCCATCCAGTGCCTCCCCGGGGGCTGGGAGCTGGATGGCAGGCACGTCTGGGTTGTAGGGAGTGAAAGGGGCCAGAAAAGTTGGGTCACGGCTTCGGTAAGGGGGTAACGGGTGGCACGGCGGAGAAAGAGAGGTTGAGCAGCCGAACAGCCTGCCCTGCAAGGAAGCAGTAGGATGCACGTCTCTGTGTAGCAAGAAAGCACTTTCTCCGCGCAGTTTTTCACACAAAAATAATAATATGTAATAGCGTTCTATTTATTTAATAACCAGATCTCAGCTCCGGAAGCAGTTTGCAAACACTTCATGTTACATAAATGCAAAATAATCACCGTAATCACCGTCTCGGGGTACGAGGCAACAGCCCCAGGGGGAGGGCGTCAGTCTAGGATCTGGTGGGCTGCAGGGCTTGGCGGATAGCAGGGGGGGCTTCGTTTCTTCTACCAGCCCCTTTGCCAGATGGTTTCGGGCGCTGCAGCACCGCGTCGCCCCACCACCGACGCGGAGAGCCCGCTCCTGCGGCAGGGCTCACCTGCGGCTCCTTTACCCGGAGGGTGAGGCCCCGGCGGAGCGAGATCGCAACCTCCCCGCCTTGCGCAGGGCTGGGCTTCGCCTCGGAACTGCAATCGCAGTTTGGGGGGGCTCTCCCCGCAGGAGGCACCGCGGGCTTCGTGCCAGCCAGGTAGCGGCATGACCCACTTTCCTGAGGGTGCTCCGCGTGTCCTTCCTTGAGATGCTGGCGGCCGAGGGGTTAACGCGACGCCCGACCCCGGGGGTGGCCCGCGGTGGCCCCTCTGACGGATGGGGTGGGGGCGGAGGCTGGGACTGGCCCGGGCGTTTTGTGCTGGGGAATGAACTGGAAAATGCGTTTAGGAGGCAAATCCGACCGAGTCCCCTCGCCTGGATTTAACCCTTTGTGTCCCTGGGGAAGCTGCCTGGCTCCCACGGTGGCTGGGGACACCGCGCTCCAGTCGGGGCTGGCGGGTGGAGTGGGGGAGGGGTTGGGGGGAGTTCCTCCAGGCTTCGTGAAGGAAACCTGAAACTACCTCCCGCGCTAGCTACATGGGGGGCTTGGGAAGGAGGCTGGGCAGGGTGGGGGCTTGGCTGGAGCACGTGGCCCCGGCCTTAGGTGGCAAAATAAGGGGTCGAAGTACAGAGAAACCGGCTCCGCGTGGGGCGAGAATGTTGGGTCTCGTGGGGCGAGAATGTTGGGTCTCGGCTGTGCCTGCAGCTCCGCGGAGGAGGTACGTGCGGTGTTGCAGACTCGGAGGGCTGTCTGTTATCTGAGGGCCAGCCACGTTGTGTGTTTTGCGGGGCTGGCCTGCACTTCTGGGAGGGAGGAACCTGGCCGCATCCACTTTTGTACCCCGTCCGCCACCAGCTCACTGCCCGGCTCCGAAAATGCCTCGGAGTGGCCGATGGCGGAGAAAACGGTTTGTGAAAGTCCGCACCACGTTGCCCCCGGCCCTGCAGCCTGGGGGGCGCTGCCCTGCTAGGTGTGCGGGGTGAGGGTAAGTTCCTGGGCACACAGGTGTCACTGCCCATTTCAAAGAGGCATGGTTGAGTCCCTCCACGCAGCAGGGTGGCGGTGAGAATAAGAGGTCTTTATTCTCTCCCTGGACCTCCTGGGAAGCCAGCAGGAGATGCTAGAAGCTCAGGCTCTAGCACTTGTCCGACACCGGGGTTTGGGCTTCTGGGAACCCTTCAGTCCCATATTGCCCACACCCAGAACCCAGCAAAAGGACAGCTTTCCTGAGGCCTGTGTGGACCAGCATACTAGGGGTTAACCTAACCCTGGGTCAAACAAAGAGTGGGAAGGTTTGGGGAGGGGAAGGTCACCCCCCCCCCATTATCCCCTCCTTTTGTTACTCTTTTCCCCAGCTTTGTGGTGCTGTGCTTGGTAGTTCATTCCTTCTTTGGGGGGCTGGAGGCCTGCCCTGCTTCCTCCCACTCAGGAAGTGGGGGCAGGGAGGCGACACTGTCACCTGGCTCAAGTGTAGACACTCCCCCCACCAAAAATCCAGATTGAGGGGGTGGGACGCAGAGAGGGAACCAGACAGGCAGTTAATAAGCCTCCTTGATTGATCGTAATTGTCACGACTGGGTAGCGTCAGTCAGCGGGGCAGCCAGAGTTCCCCAACCGGAGAGCCTCCTCTACCCGGTGCCTGTGGCCCTGGTGCCTCTGTGAAGGGAGGGAGGTGGATGTGGTAGTGGCCACACGACACTTGGACAGAGGCTGGTGGGCCCAGAAGTTGCCCTCCCACACCCCGTTTACCATCACCCTCAGGCACCCTCCTGATTGCCCGCTGCTGCTTCTCTCTGGGGACTTGGCAGCCTGATGCTCCTTTCTGGGTTCTCCTAGGCTATGGCAGGGGGCATGGAGGGTGGAGGAGATGAGCCTGGGGGCGGGGAGGGGAGCCCCCCCGGGCTGTGTGTGGTGGCCCACGGACTTCAAAACACTCCAAATCCGGCTATTGATGTGTAAGCACAGAAGTATGTTTTCAACAACACAGACTTTACCGGGCAGGGTGGTGAAGCCCCACAAGCCTCTGAGATGAATCTGTTCACTCAGAGGACAGGGCCAGTGGGGCACGGGGGCTGCATCCCAGAGGGGCAGGAGGAGCCCAGGAGAGGAAGCAGAGAACCTGTCTTAGAAGCAGGTGCGCTGAGCTGGTGTCCCACCTACACCACACCCTCCCTAATTGGCTTCCCCAAACCTTTTGTCTGGAAAGAGAACACACGCCCCAGGTGTCGCGCACACCCTCAGAAGACCTGTCGGGGCCACAGCACCCCCTTCTCTGCAGCCTATGCAGAGCTCGCTGTCATGGTGGTTTCCTTCGAAACCTGGGGTGTCAGGACTGTTGGGTTATTCTCCTCTCTCCCCATCGCTCACAGACTGTGGTGTGCTCTGGCTTGCTGGGCAGGATGTTATGGCAAAACCAATCCTGCTGGCCCGGGGTTTGCAGCGCGGGTAAGCAGGAATCCCAGTGCCCATTTCGGAGGCAGCGCTGTGGAATGTCTCAGACTCCGATTCAAGGCCGAATAGTCAAGGCTGGAAGGGAGGAGGAGATATGGCAGAGCCTGGGCCCAGCACCCTGGGCTGAGTGGTCTAGAAAGTGTCTCTGAGCCTGACTCTCTGTGTTTATGGGACAGGCCGCCCCTTGTCGCCTGATACTGGCCTAGACTCTGATATCCATTCCCTTCTCGGCTGCTCAGCTTTGCACAGTGAATCCACCTCGTTGGCCTGACCCGGGACGCAGTTGTACAGTGCCAGGATGGTCTCCGGCCAGAACCCTAGTGCTGACGGCTGAGCAAGTGGGCCAGGCTGGGGAGGGTGGGGGGCAGGAGGTCAGCCCCAGTTGCTATGCCTATGATACTGCCATTGTTTAGCAGCTGACTAATGTTCATTGTTCAGCACAAACAGAAAATACCCAAGGGAGGTGTGACTATACCTTCAATTTTCCTGATTGTATCTTTCCTGGTTAACCTGGTAAATTGAATGGCTCCTACCTGCTGGGGGAGACAGTGAGGGTGTCTGTATATTCACCTGTTATGCTGATTTTTTTTTTTTTTTAACTCTGAATGTTAGCCAGTGAGCCAGGCTAGAATGGACATTAGCCAGCTATGGGACTTAGGCTATAACGTTTTTGACAATCTGCATATGGCCTCACCTTCAGTATAGAGTGGGTGCACACACACATGTGCAAGACTGTGTGTGCATGTGTTGGTCATCTACAGTTTACTGTGTACATGCAGACCCATGGGGACTAGGACAAGGAGGTGTGTGCACTGGGATCTATGGGTCACCATGGTGCAGGGGCCATAAATATACATCAAATGTATATTCACATGCAATTGATTTCTTATGGCTTTCCAACTAGGATTTTGTGAGTGGCTGTGAGCCTTGGTAACACCTGTGTTTATGTCAGCGTGTCAGTGAGGATGACTTTGGAGGAGACCTAAGATTTGCCCTTAGCCAGCTCCTTCCAAGATGAGCTGTCATATCCTTTGGGGTTGGGAAGCCTGGACCCTGCCTTATTTTTCTGCTCTGCCCTTGGCCTTAGACTGGGCCACTGCATCTTCACAGGGAGATGCTCACCTGGAGAGACTTTCCGCTGCTTCTCAGGATTCCTGAACGGCTGGGAAGGGCCACAAGAAATAGAGTTTCAGCTACTATTTTGGCATCTTTGCTTCCTGCATGAATATTTGGGGAAAAGGATCAGCTGGAGAAAGGGGATGTACTCTGGGCATTTTAAAAGGAGCTCTTGAGTCGTGGGCTGTGAAAAGCCCTGCTGAA